TAACTTGCATTAGATCAACAGGCATTCAATAAGGCATACAATTAGGCATGCAGTGAGACATGCAATAAGACAAGAAAAATGGGTGCAAGTGTCCCTTGCTTGTGATAATGCTTAATTTAAAGTCTTTTCATAATTTATTGTTATTATTTTTTACTGAAATAATAAAGTTAATTTTAAAAATGCTCAAGTTTCTCAGCTGTGAGGCAGCTTTTTCATAAGGCAATTATATGTTAATTCAAAGTTCAAAGAACAAAAGAATTGCAGCCACTGTTATGGCTGCTGTCAAATTTTTTTTATTCAATTACCAGCTGTTCTCAGAAGAAAAAAAAAATTGGTTTATCATAATACTGACTAACAACATGCCCAAATCCTGCAGTTCTTTAGTATCTCCCTTCACCTTTACTTTGTTTTTGAAATACATGTAGAGGTTAAACATCTACCTGTGTACACTATGATTAACATTTTCTTATATTGATTTTTATCCATCAATAACACCGTTATAGTTTGGATTTCCTAATAACCTTTCCCATAGACAATGCCAGCAGTCCAGAAAATATTCATAAGTTTTGGTGCTTTTTATGATTACAGCTGAGGATAAAGATAGCAACTTGAAGGTTACTTAAATGGTTAAAGTCATAATAGATATTCAAATGGGACAAGATTTTGAGAGATCTCCAAATCTGAACTGGCAGTGCAGTGTTCATTGATATTCCTGTTGAGTGGCATACTTTTACAGCACTAGATGAAAAGCAGCATTTTTTTGTTCTTTCTTTGGAAAAAAAAAAAATAGCTGCAAAGCTTGCATTGCAACCAACTGAAAAAAGTGAGTAACTTCAGGAGACATGAGACATATTAATTGATAACAGCGATGAAAAGAGTGGCTGATAGTAAAGGTAGTTTAAGTACATATCATGTTGTTCTTTACAACTTACTTTTATGATTAGATAAACCGGCAATAAGTTGTATGAGAGTCCCAACAAAATGCTAACAATATGCACTGTATTCACCATTAGACGTTGCATGCCATTTAAGTCCAACTGCTTGATAAATTTATGGAATGTTTAAGAGTTTTTCTTTAATGGTGTCACTAAGGGTTCTGATGGATGGAGGCAAGCATTTGACAGATAGCCTGTTTCCTTAAGCATTTATGGAGATCTCCAAAGGACAGCTAAATGCTCTCATCAGTTTGACTGAGAAGTGCTTACTTGCCTGCACAGTCTCAAATTTAGAAGATAATCACAAAAAGATACTAAATTTAATCTCTGTCAAGTCTCTACCATGTTTTATTCTATGATAATCATAGTGTTTAACATTTATTTAAATGTTAAACACATATCAACTTTTGAAATTATTAGTTCACCTAGACAGTTCAGGGCCACAGATACCAGTACACAGCTTATCTATCATCACTATGTTACTTGAGAAAATGTAGGAGCACCTATATTTCACTTTACAAGTAAAGATGCAGACATTGTAGTTTAAAATAACAATCACTGGACTGAAGACATCTGAGACACAAATTTTTTATGAAACATGCCTGTAAAGCTAAAGAAAAAGTCAACAAGCTGCCACAGATGTTTGGTTGTTATTGTGCAAAAATACATCAAAGGAAAGGTCAGATGTTATCCCTTTTGAGGCTGCTCCATGAATAAACAATGAAATAAGCTGTGAGGATAGGAGAATTGTACAAACTTGCGAGAGTTGAGCTTACTTTACAAAACTTCCTTTAATTTACTCTGATGCATTTTTTTTGGCCCACGATTGTGGCATCTTGCTTTTGTTAACAATTCCCATCCAAATTCACCCTCTTTTATACTTGGCACAAATTGTAAATGACACCTAGGGCTTAAACGAGGCTTCTGAAACTCAGCTTAAATCCAGGAGAGTTTTTGAGAATTGATAATTGAGGATTGAGGATTGAGGACAAAGGATGAAGTTTCGAGGGACCTAAAACATACATTATGAGCAGTGCTTTACTTGAAAATTGCAACTTGCTGGGATTCTGATTCTCACGTTTGGAAAGGTAGACATTTCTTTTTCCATGCTTTTTACAATATTTCAAATATTTCTATTTGTTACTTTATTTTTATTATTATTTTTTCTTGGGGGGGGGGGGATAATTGCATTAAATCTAGTAACACTACAGTGATTCTTTTCAGCCTTTAGGCTGCTGTTTCCAGAAGGATATCCAGTTTAAACTTCAAAGATCAAAAGAATGGCACTCACTGTTACAGCTGCAATTTTTATTTTATTCTATTTACAGTGTTAGAAAAAAATATTTAGTCTACAACATTGATTGACCACACTTCCAAACACTGCAGTTCTTTATTGTCTGACCTATCAGCTTGACTTTTTTTTCTTGTAAATGAGTTTGGAGATCTACTCATACACAGGGGTTTCATTAGGGGCCAGGCACTGGGGTAATTGACCGGTTTTGAGGGAGATTTTGCCCACCTGGTTCGACGATCTGGAGTAAAGCTTATCAGTTCAAAAAGTTTTGCCTGCCTGTGAAAACCAGTTGCCCTCCTGCTGAAAACGTTAATGAAACCCCTGCATTAACAGCTTATTTTTATGGTTAAATTTCACCTGTTATTGTTTCAATTTCTTTATCACTTCCCATAAACAAAGCCTGGCTGTCCAAAAATATTTTGTGTGTGGGAAATTTTAATTATTTTTGGTATTTTGGAGTCAGACTTTAACATAGGTCAGCAGGATGTGGGCGAAGCCTTAAAGTGTATTCTCCATGAAGGAATGGTATTAATAGCATAAGTCACTCAGAAAGATCATTTTATTTGAAATAGATACAAATAGTACCAGCCTATTTATAATCCCCCTTTCTATCTACATGATTTGTTGGTAATGCTGAGTCTAAGATGGCCTTAAAAGCTTCTAAAATACTCTGGTTTGTGTTATACTCTATCTCCTAAAAAAAAAAAAAAAAACAGACAACCCCTAAATTTCCAACTTTTTAACTCAAGCTAATCACCACCACCACAGTTGATTTTAAAAGAAATCTGAGGATTTTTAAAAGAAATATCAGGGCATATAGGGAGACTTTATAGGCAAACTTATCTATCAAGATGTCTCTGATCCAAAGTTTGATCTTGGAACTTGAGACTAATGCTTTGTGCTGATATTAAGTTGTCAGTAACTTGAAGTAACTCTGATAGGCCAAGTTGTGGGAAGTTTTCAATAGGTAAATTAGTAAAATGTTTTTGCTTATATGCTACAGTAGTTCTTATAGTGTTGTTTCAACACTGAACTTTATTAATATGAATTGAGCAAAATGCCATCTAAGCTTCAATAAGGATTGTAGAAACACTGGTCTGATTGAGACAGTCACAGAGATCATATTTCCATTTTAATGTCTTCATTATAGAAAATATGAGAAAGGCGAGTAGGGGCCTTGATGTACAAATTGTTGTTCTGTAAAGAAGTGTTATGAAGCTGTTCTTTGGTGGCTGGTCATACGTGTAGTTCTCAGTGAGGAAACTCAGCATAAAGATAAACTAAGCTCATTAGGAAAGCTGATAATTTATCAACAAGGATCTTTCTTGAGAAAGTTCAAAATAACTAAACAAAATTATTTTGTGTACAGTAAATGTGGTTTGTACTAGCACAGGACAAAAAAAACGTAGTTAAGGCGAGCAAGTAACTTTGAATTTATCTCATTTTTTTTAAAAATTATGTTCATCTTCTGGTAATTGTTGACATTACGGTAGGATTAGGCTCAGTATGAGAAATTTAATGATTTATTATTTCCTTATTGCTGTCAAGTTTGAAAATCAGATTTTAAGAAAAACAAACACCTACCATGGTATTGACTATTTTTGAAAGGATAAAATGTGTGGATTTATTGAGACCTAACGATCTCAAGGAAAGTATAACTGGAATATAGAATTTGAAATTTATGTTTTTTCAGATTCTGAGATTTCATTAAAATCTCTTTAAGTGTATATTAGCCACTTGAGTTACTTATAATATGCTGTCTCATACTGTCAGTTCATTGATTCAATGTAAGACTCAAATGTCTTTCCCAACTCGTCTAACTTCTGTGAGGCAATATTTATCAAATATCTGGTACCTAATTTTTGAGGCCCCTCTTACAGTTACTTGTTCTGGATTTCAACTTAAAAACGTTTCCAAATTATTCAGGCTTAAGTCCTCATCTGAAACAGGAACTGACATTACCAGTATTGGCTTGAATTCTTTTGGAGAAATTCAACCATCCTTGGATCAATGAGAAATAGAGTTATTACATGAATGATTGGTATGACGATATTTGTGGTTTTCTGTTCTTGAGTAAGTTATTAAAACCTGTTTAAAAAATACATTAATCTATAATCTAATCATTAATCTATATTGAATCATGAAGAGAAAAATTTTGTATTGCCTTCTTTGTATTTTAGCACTTCTGCAACAAGGCCAAAAAATATATGCAACTGTAATGAAAAATATTGAATTAGAATCCTGTGAGATTGTAGCAGTTTCTTGACAAGCGTGCATGTAGTATATCAAGATCTCTAGGAGTGTAAAATTCTTGTCTTTCTTGATAAAAACGGAAGTCGTTGGTTTGTTTACATCCGTGAACGTGACTGAGGTATCGTACTTTTTCGCTGAGTGATGGTGACGTCATGATCGTTGTGTGAAAAGGGCTCTGATTGGTCAAAGAACAGGGCTCGGAGCAATGTCGTCACCTCTTGGAAGCAGCTATATTTGACTCGTGACGTTAATACAAACCAGAATTTTCAGGATTTGTCAGCTGATCTCTCTTATTTCGTTTGTAAGGTGTAAAGTATACACGTGGGCAAAATATTGTAATCTCTGCTATCGCAACTGTAGAAATCGAAAGTAAAAACTCTGACTCTAAATAAACGAGGGGAAATTTTTCGAGTGTTTTGTCCTGTAACCGTGACAATTGCCTCTAGTGGGCGGGGTGTTATGGCCAAGGTGAGCGATTTGATTGGTCGGTGATTTCCTGTTTGACAAGTCAGGTCTCGTGATGTAGATACCCGTGGCCTCAATGAAAACAATAACAAAGAAGAAAATTTGCTGTGCGGGAAAAGCAATCTTGACTGTTTCTACTTGAAATCGTACTGTTTATCTCAGTGAGCCATAGAAGTACATGCAGCAAGGAGTAGATTTTACTCCAGTACGTTCGTTTATGATAAAAAATTATGTTGAAATCATAATCTACACTTAACTTAAGCCATTTTACTAAGTTCTGCTCCTTTCTCGAGCTGGATTTGTTTTATAAGTTACATAACGAATTTTTCCAAAATGGTTGTTTTTTAGCTTCCATTGGACGTGGAGAGTTCGTGCGAGGAAAGTTTTGGCGTGTTTTCTCCATTCGAGGAAGATGAATTCGAAAGCTTAAGGACAAGCTTTTGGGGAGAGTCGAATGGAGGTGGAGGACGAAGCGGCTGGGACAACGTTCATGCATTACCTTCTTCTCCGTTTAGCGGGCTCGGAGGAGATTTTGAGATGGAACTGGAATTTTTTCGAAGTGATGTAAACGAGGAATGTAAAGTTGCTGGGCCTACTTTGGCCGAACTAAACGATCACCGTTCCCTATCTCCTCTGATAAATCCTGAAATGGAGCGCCTCCATCGCTTAGCCACTCGCACTGAGGGCGATTCTTCTCCAACCTGGGATTGCAAAACTCGAAAGCCACAGGGCTACATCGCTTTAGAGCTCACGTCGGATAAGGATGAAAGAAGGGTATCTCAAGCTAAACAGGAACCTGTTCTTTTATTTTGTGAATATAACGACAGATTTGAGAAATCTACTTTAGTTCCTAAAGATGCGGAGAAGAAACGTCCGAGCAAACCAACATGGACTACGACCCAAGATACAGCTTCTCTACACTGCAATAATGAAGCCGAGAAATCAGTGTCTGCAAACAATCAGAATTCATCACAGACAGTCGTATTGCCAGAGAAAAAGTTGGGCACTGAAGGAAATAATCAAATGTCTAAGTTAGTTTCAGCGGAAATGAAAGCTCAATTATATACAGGGGGAACGAATATGCGCGAGGATGTGAAAATTGAAGCCGATCGGGACTCGATCGAAGCCGATCCGGGCAGTCCTGCTTTAGAATACGATTCCGCTGATGAAGACATGGATAGTGACGAAGATTTTGATGTGGAGAGCCATTCCCATGGTACAGGTTTAGCTAGAAATCGGAAAGGTCGTAGGGGAGACCAAGATGACCTTTCTCCGAATCCAAAAAAGTTGCTAGAAATCAGTCGAGAGCTGGATCGCTTAAACAAAGTTATAGGTGACTTGAAGCCGATACATCAGTTGCCACAGAACGCTCGGAACAAGTCAAGAAAGGAGAAAAACAAGTTAGCATCAAGGTAACGTATTTTTCATTTTTGCCTAGAGCCAAAGGAAAATCAGCATAAGCTAACTCGTTGAATTTTGTTCGCTGGTAAATGTACTCTGTACAAGCATTAGTACGTACAATTAATACGTTTCAATGCAAATCGTCTCTGTTAAACTTGCTGCTTCGATGTACACAAGGATCCTTGAGTTTGGATGGACTTAGTTTTGTTGCCTTTTTTTCCTTCCTTGAGTCGGTGTTGCTTTATGTTACAAATTTGCAAGACAACATTTCTCAACAACATTTCTTAATTAAGTGTCTTACAAGGAAATGATCTACTCTGAGGTCAGCTGCGCGGAAGTTGTGGATTATAGAAGAATGTCGAAATCGACTTTTTGGTTTTGGGTTGTTTTTACTCTGGGATGAGAAAAATATTCTGCGGACTATTCATACCCCGTGATTGGACTTCGATCTGTGAATTTCCATACCTTGGAACTTATTTTGTCTCCTATTGTGAGACAGGGGTTAAAATTTTTCACCATTTCAAAGTTTCTTATTTTATAACAGGATTTACATGTCCATCTGTGGGGTGAAATCCTACTGGTATTTATATACTTAGCACAGATTTGTTGGAAGTGTTTTCAAGAGAGAATAGTTCTTGCCAATAACAATCAAACATTTCCATATGTGATTATGTACATGGAATATTTCGTCAGGCTTCGTGAGCAATGTATGAAATCTCCTTGACTTTCTTTAAAAAGCAGCATTTTGCTGTTGGAAGATTGGAATTCGTTTAAGTGCCTGAACCTTATGATCCCTTTCATAGAATTAGTACAATGTAATGAAAAATTCAGATATGTGATTCAAAGTTGAGGATTTACAATATTAAAAAATATAAAACAAGATACTCATTTATTCACTGTTATTTGCTGCAAATTAAATGCAGCAAATAACAACTATGCCCCTTAACTCTGCACAAGTTAAGGTAAAAAAAAATCATTGCTGAAATTTTTCAAAGTGAAACACTTTTGTTAACTTGATATTAGGCTGAATTTTCAAAGTTGTGATATTAAAAATATTATACCTTGATTGTAAACAAAATGTGTTATTGTTGTGGTCATGTCACAAAGTTCCTTAGAAAACTGGCCCATATCATATCAATGTCATGTGAGAATTTCAAGTAATGGAATTTGGTTTATATTTTTACAATATTCAGTTTGGCTGAAAGATATATTTAGACTGGCTGGTGAAAAAGATTGAGGCTGAAATTTAAAACCATCTGATGCTTTGTTTAATGCAGATTATCCCTGCAATGAAGAAAGACGAATTTCATCTATGCTTCACTGGAGTTCAAATTAGGATGCTGTGGCCATCTACTAAAATGATATTATTTTGGTTTGCTTTTACACTTAGACTGACCTTACTGTACTCAATATTTTTTCTTTAGTGCAAACTATGAAAAACATTAAGGTATTTATAGCTCCTTGAACATTCTCACCCAAAAGTCTGGTGGCCACCCACATTTGATAAACAGCCAGCCATGATTATCATCAACACTTGAAATGCTGGGGTAACTATACTTCATGCTGTATTAAGTTTGATAGCCAATCAAATTATTTATCTCTAGTCTTCAGTTTACTTGGTAATGCATGTACATGATGTACAATGTAACAAACCAGGAATACATAACATCAACCATGACTGCTGCTTTAAATTCTTTCTGGGGACTCCCTGCAACAATTCAGAAAACTATATGTAACAATACCAACTTGGATAACATTTATAGTGCTTTTTAAGACTGGAAATGGATTTTATTTTCTTTCTCTTTTGGAATGATTCTTCTAAAACAGTGAAGAGATAGTGCCACATGTCCAAACACCTTTTGCAGGAGCCTGTTCTTTGTGTTATCTCTTTTCTTTATTTAAGGGTAGCCACACTCTGTCCTAAATTAAGTTCACCACATTTTCATTTTACTTTTTTAATTAATTTCCACATATTTCAAAGACCAAGTGTTACCAGGGGGTTGTAAACAGTTGTTTTCAAAACTGTGGTTTCTGGTTGAATTGTTTATGATTTTGACAGGTTATTAGAAAAATTCACTAGACAGATTTTCCAACTGTTTGCCAGCTGAAATCATAGTAAAGGAAACATCGTTGTGAAATAAGTTTTTCCACTTGTCTGCCAGCTGAAATAATAAGAAAGAAACATTTTCATAAATTTTATCATGAACTTTGATCTGGGATGTTTTGATTTTTCTCCTTTGCTTGTTTTTTGAAACACTCCAAATCTTTGCTCTTATAATGTATATCATAGTAATTGTCTGTCACACCTGTAGATCCCAAGAAGTTGATTGTTAGAAGTTAATTTACAACATATTTAGGCAAACGTTATGGACAAAATAGTTACTAAGGAAACTGATAAATTGAGAGATTCTATGTATGGTAAATGTTTCTGGTACGCACAAAAGCTTTGTCCCACACCACTTGACATAATTTGAAAAAACAGCATGTCTTAGTTCAATGAATTCACAATTGGAGTAAATTCCTGTGAACATTGCGTATAATATCTACTGTTAGTAGCATCAACAACTTAGACCACCAAATAAGTGAAAAACTGTTGGGCCACAGTAATACCCTTATTTGTCCATCACACAAGATGCATTCTGATCCAGTGAAACTTTGATAAAAGAGCATAGTAATGAATTGACAAGAATCATTATGAGTATTATTATTATTAGATTAGTAACCTCTATTTCAATTGGGTAACTCCTTCAGTTTTAGTAGAAGATGAAAAACTGCTTTCCTTAGAGACCCTACGTAAATGATAAACTAAATTGAATAGAAACAATACTTATAATTAAGGAAAATTGAAAATAGCTGTAAAATGTTATGTAAAGGGAAAAAAATTAAATTACAAGAAAAATAAAAAAATTCTTAAAAACTAAATCTGATTGAAAATTACACAGCCATGATAAAAAAAGGCCTGTTTCATATGTTCTAACTTTATAGATGGAAGTCTTAGTTTACTAACTGCTCTTTGTTGTTCTGGGCAATACATCCTTGTTATAATTAAAGTAAGTGCATAAAGAACTGTGGACAACAGTTACCCAAGCATTTCTTAACTAGGTTGTGTACATGGCTCTCTCTATCATTATCATTATTATTACTATTATTATTATCTGATTACTTTTGCTATCATTAATTTTGCCATTACATTATTATTTTGACTATTGTCATTACTCAAAGGCTGGGTAGACATTCCCTTAAATGGGCTTAGTTTGTCTGATTAATTTGATTGAGGTACATTATTCTGCATTTGTCGCTTTTCATTTTGTTTTTTGTATACAATGTTGTATCTATAGCTGGCAAAAGATATGAAAGAATCAGTAATAAACATTTAGCTGCTTGATTGTTTATTTTACTGAGTTTATGGGTAATTAAATATGTGTTATTCACTGTGGCATTTAAAGTAATTTCACATGAAAATCTACCACATGTAAGTTAAAAGTGTTGTTTTAATGTTGACAGTCTCAACATGAAACTATATCCTCAACTTTTGAGAATGAAGCTTTACAGGACTGTGTTAACTTATATTTGAGTGGTCCAATTCCATTTACTTTTATAAGGGCCCATTGCTTTCAGTTGTTGTTAGCTTCATAGATATGGGTGCACAACATCAAAAAATAACCACACTGTAATGTACCTTTGCATTTTTTAGGGCTTGCAGATTGAAGAAGAAAGCTCAGCATGAAGCAAATAAAGTCAAGCTTCAGGGTCTGGAAATGGAACAACGTGAGTATAAAGTGGTCTCTTTCCTCAATAGATGACTGATATTAAACAAACTTTGCTATCAAGCATTTGAACTATCCAGTGGTTAAGTAAGAATTACACTTATCTTCAACACCTTTTCTTGATTTGTAACCATGATCAAGAAGTTGATTTGAACATGGTTGTCTGTCTGTTTCAGAAGTGACTTATCTGAAGACATGATTTATTTTTCGCAAAAAAAAATATCTCTTTGCCCAGTTCTTGTGGTCCATTAGCCCTTTGACTGTAAATTTCTCATCAAAACTAGTGGAGAGAATTTGGTGTTACATGGTTATTAAGTTGACATTCCCTGGCAGATTACCTTTTTCTTATCTGATCACCTGCTTTTGGCTAATACATGTACAGGTCTATATTAATTGTTTGATCAGCTGTCACTAGTACTGTAGGAATTCAAGGGTTTGTTGAATTCATCCTAGCTAGTGTGCATGTCTGGGAATGATGACACATAGGTATCGCTAGGTAGCAAACGTTCTTAGGTACATAGCTGCAGATATTAGTTGTAACAAGTTTTGTGAATTGTAATTCACTGCTCTTTGTAATCTGAGCGGATCAGTGAACATTCTGCTTGATCCATAAAAGTTTCACTAGCTTTACAGAATTTTAAGGTAGGTGGGTAAAAGGTATATACATGGTAGATGAGGCAACTCTTGTTAGATTTAGTGGATGTCCAGCAAGGCTGTGGACAGGATTGTCACTCAGGTATCTCTGAAATCTCCTAAGCTATCATTTACATGAAGAGTTTAGGGATTTCAGGAAACTTGAATGTCATTTTTTCAGACGTGGAGAAGGAAAAGCCATATATGTGTGTTAAGAAACCTTCTGTGTCTATGAGTGTAATCACAACACAAGTGATCACAACATAGCATACCCCCGAAGATCTCCTGTTGGATGCATTTTACACTGCCTGTACTGCCTGTCACTGACAAGCAGCAGTGTTTAGTGTTATGAAGTAATCTTGCCACTTATATGGGAAACTCTGCATGTATGCATGTTTTTCCTGTGGTGAAGTATTTGGAACTGAAGGAATTGTTGAATGTTATGTGAAAGGTTGTGTTCTTGTTTCTCTAGAGCGCCTGACAGACATCATTCATAAGGTGAAGAAAGAAATCATAGTCAAAGGCAGTCCTCAGCCTTTGGATCCAAAGCCAAACTTAAGTATACAGATTGAAAGTCTTATCAAGGGTACATTTGGTGAGTTTTAGGTGTCAATGTCACATTTTGAAAGTCTAAGACAAGTTGTGGTATGGGAGCATCAAATTGCATCAACAGCTGCAGAGTAGTTTTATCAGTGTTTACCTTTCTTTCATATTGGGCCAGAAAGAGTTTCCTATTATGTACAAAATAGGGAAACCTTTTTGTCTTTCATTTTTCACAGGTTCCAGGGGAGGGAACCCTAGAACCTCACACAAGAGGGCACAAAGATTTTCAAAGGCACATCCTCCTCTTATTTCATAGCAGAAGTTACTGCATTCCTCATGCATACTAGTGGCTCGGTTACATTTTTAATCTTGTGATCTGTTCTTTGGATCACACTTCACAAAGTAATGCATGGTATAATTTTTTTTTTGGGGGGGGGGGGGAGGCTTTTGTAGGCATCGTCATGAATGGTTCAGACACCCACCACACTGCTAAGATTGCTAAACATTTTGTTGTGTCAGCAAAGTACTTAATGGAAATTTAGGAAAATTTTATGTGGGGATGTAGACTTGGCTTGGTGTGTAAGCTGCATTTTAATGCTCGACCACCTCCCTTTTTAAAAATTATTTCCCTTCTGGATATTTGTTTTACTTGCACACAGTGCATTTAAAAGAAAACCTACCTTAAAGTATGTAATATCTGGAAAAAAAAAGTGTATCAGTTAAAAATTTTTGTTCTATTTTAGTACATCATAACTCATGGCAGGCTCTTTTTTCTAAATCTAGGGAGCCAAGTGGTTGCTGGTCATACTTCAGATTTTGTGTATTCTGTTCTGAAGGCCACAGCAAGGGACAACCCAGCACTTGGAAAACTGGAGGACCTTTCCCTGTGTTTCTGAAGAACTGATCTGGGGGATCAGGGATCCATGATCCAAGGGTGAATGGTGAACTGTCTGTTGTTGATAAGTAGTAACAGATGTGTTTTTTAAAACTTGAAAGATATTTACATTGGTGAATTACTACAGCTCAAAACAAATATCAGGACTCATTATTATTATTATTGTTATTGATTAGCAGCCTTGGATAACACTTACCTTTCCAAGTGGTTTGTGCATCAGTGTAAGAATGTTAATGATGCTTTCATTTTCTTTAGATGATATAAAACCCAGAAAATGCCCTCAGTTGAAGTCTTGAAAACTTAATGGCGAAAAACAAGCTTTAAAAAGAAAGCATTCTCCTGATTCTTTACTTTTTAAAATATTATACAAAGTGATAAAAGTTTCTGTTGTATAATTGAAGTATTTTACTTTAGATTTATTCTAGACATCTGAACCCCTGAGTTATTTATGAATTAGCCTTTGTGGTGAACTAGAGGTACATATACATGTATTGAATCAAACTAAACAATGTGTGGGCATGGGAAACTTTGCATTTGTGGGACTCAGGTTTCAGTTTTCTGGTTTGTTTGCATCGATTCATTGGCACAAAGGATGAGATCATTGTTTTGATTGTTGGAAAATGATTGTTAAGTGCCCTATTGAATATTTGTACATGTAATGTGCTGATTTTTGCATGGTTGGGTTTGAGATTGAAATGGTTCAAATTTTACATGTACAGAATCTGGAGGACTGTGCAACTGTCCAAAAGACCATTTTTCAGAACAATCATGATAAGCAGTAATTGGTAACTTCTAGTAAAGCTGGAATGCATCCTTATTTAGCCTAACTTGAAATGATTTAACAATGTATGTTCCATCCCTGGGTGTGATGGTATTACTAGGTAAATGTGTAACTTACAGATGTTTAGATGTGTTGGAATTGTTTTTCAAGGCCACTTGCTAATTACATATTGATCACAAGTGGTATTGTGAAAGGTAGTTCATGTACAATTAGTTGTGCGCAGATCACTCAAAATGGTCGTAGGTTAATCTAAATGAACAGTTATTAAGAAGTAGTTCAAATTGATAACAGCAATTTCCATAATGTGAGGTATAAGAATTGAAGAAAATTGTTTTAGTCAGTGTTACACGTAAGTTAATAAATGGGTAATAATTAGAACTGCTCCTCTTGACTCTTAATTGCATTTTTGGGTCATGCAACAGTTCATCAACTTAATTGTTAAAGGAGAGTTGGCATTGTATAATGCCAATTTCTCTCAACTTATATGCAACAACATGTCTGGCAACCAGAAATGAGAATTACCAGTGAATTCTTGGGAGTGGAAAGGTTCAGGACTCAAGAAGTGTGTTGCATTAGCTCATCCCAATGCAGGTTTTATCAGCATGGCCTCTGTGTATGAACTACAAAAATTTCGGTGCATGATTTATTGATATTTTATTCATACACTTGCTAAAATAATAACTGAGTACCATTTTATTGCATGAATACAAGTGCTTTGCAGCTTTAGCATGATATTTTATATATGGTATTTGGTATTTAACGTTCTTTTTAAGTAGATTCACTGCTTCTTATAGGAGCTGTTAAGACCAGAAAGTCTTGTGATATAAGGGATAGTAGTTGATTAGGGATATTATTTATAACATTGGGTGACAAAGAGGGGTGATCCTATCTGAGTGAATTTGGGTGCACACCTTTTGTGGTTAGAAGTTTCAAAATGTAATTTAGAAGGCCATTGATGGTTTCTTCCTTGTCTGTCCCACAGTAAACTCCAGTTTACTGTGGGACAGACATTGAAGGACATCTTTTCTTCCATTGTAAATAAAATTGGAGTAGAGGAAAGGATCCAAACTTTGTGTTTCTTAAAAAGTTTGTTAAGGATTGTGGAATTCTATATGCTAAATGGTTGCCCTGTTTGTGTTTACATCTAGGGGTTTTTTCCACGGTAGTTATAATGTCTGTGGGCAGATTAGTGTCATAATTTTAATTCTAAGAGTGCAGTGGTGTGTTCTATTCTAAAATAATACCATTCCAAATTAACACCATGCCTTTGGTATCACTGGAAAACATTTAGTTCTCGAGTATTTGTGTTTTTTGTTGAGGGCCACGGGACACTAATATTTCCTTTTGTATTCGGCATGCACTGTTCTTTTAAAACATCCTGAATTTCATAATCAATTGAAAATGTAAACTCCTTGGAAAGTCCAAAGTATTCTATTTGTAACATAAGAGGAGCAGTTATCTTTATCATATTGTAACATAGATTTATGTATATAGGCTATTTTGTTATCTGTATAGTGTAAATAAACTGAGGGTTATCGGAACAGCATTTTATAACTTGTAACATAGATTTACTGGAATCCTCATGAGGGATTCAGCAGATTGTATTTTCATATTATTACGTTTCTTGGGAATTAATTTATCTGCAGGAGGGTGAACTTGATAAGTTATACATCTAATTATTTGATTTCTCAAAGCAATAAAGTAAACTGGACGAGGTTGTTTCGTTTCCATTTGTTTTTTTGCTTGTCGACGTGTGTGATTTCATTTTTCACTTTGTACGCAATCAACTGTCCCTTGAATAGACAGCTGTAAAGAAAGGACAACTGTCTGCAACTGATCGATCCCTGTATGTCACGCATCGTAACTATCTGCCGCACGACTTTGGTCAATTGCGTAAACAGTAAGTCGATGCTGCGATGATTCTTCCTCAGTTTCCTGGAAAATTTGAGTATAAGCCGTCGATTTCTTAAAGAACTTAAAGACGGAGAGCAGTAACAAATTTAAATTACCTGTATTAGTTCAGTCATGATATTGAGGTGCTACTTTTTCACATAGGTTATCAGTTTGATAATCGGGAAGATTTCCCCACTACACTTCATCTCTCCAAGTTCAGCTTGGTGCCATGGAGTTTAATAAAAAATATTTAAACGAAAAGCCTTTGATTGCGTGTGTATCATAAAAAAGGATAAACTTTCAAGAACAATCTTAACCTACCTAAGCTTTTTGTCTTTCTAAACATTTCCCGTCGATGACGTCGTAGGTACGGTGGCCCAGAAGGGTCAACGCAAACAAAAAATATGCTGCAGAAAATAAAAAATATACTGCATCAAATAAAAAATCTAAACGCAAAGAAAAAAAGTACGTAGCAAATAAAAAAATGCACCTCGAGCAAAAATACTGCAGCAAATAAAATATGCAACGCAAACAAAAAAAAAAAAAGAAAAGGCAAACAAAATAAATTGGAACGCAACGCCAAGGAAGACTGGGTAATAGTTCTTAGTTTCCCGCCAACACTCGTTTCATCCTTTGCTTGTTCGCCTTTCCGAAACCATGTTCTGTAGCGAACTTATGACAGTACTGGTACCATGCTGCTCCTTTAAAAAATCGATGATAACTCTATTTTCATACCCTTGATGAAAGTAATTTTCTTTAATCCTACGCTGAGCGCTTTCGTCCATAACCAAAAGCGAGTTCCAGTTCATGCTGTTTTGGCGGGAAACTAAGAACTATTACCCAGTCTTCCTTGGCGTTGCGTTCCAATTTTTTTTGTTTGCGTTGCATATTTTATTTGCTGCAGTAGTTTTTGTTTGCGTTGCATTTTTTTTATTTGCTGCGGTACTTTTTTTCTTTGCGTTATGATTTTTTTTATTTGCTGCAGTATATTTTTATTTGCTCCAGTATATTTTTATTTGCTCCAGTATATTTTTATTTGCTCCAGTATATTTTTTTTATTCGCTGCAGTATATTTTTTATTTGCTACAGTATATTTTTTATTTGCTGCAGTATATTTTTTATTCGCTGCAGTATATTTTTTGTTTGCGATGAGCCTTCTGGGCCACCGTACGATATATTTTAAAGACTGGTGAGGAGCGGGGATAGTCGATCGGCTGGAATCACAGGATATTTGTTAGGCATGCAGTGATTTCCATGATATGTGATCGATTTAATGCTACGTTGCACGTGAGCGTGGAAATTAACGTTTTATCTCGTTAGCCTTCAAACAGAAACTTAAGAATTGTTGCCCTGGGTTCGATAAATGCTCATGCTTTCCGAATGACACACAAAGAACTAACAAGGAAACGGCAAAATGTCTCATGCAAACTTTCTGTTTCATACACCTCTTATATACAAATATACAAATACGGACGAGATATCGTATCAGTTCTTTTACAAGGCTTAGAAAGAGAACAAAATGCGTTCTACGCAGAATTGCCCAGAAACGATGAAAGTCTGTTTCTTCCCACTTTGCGTGTCATGTGTTTTTAATTATATGTTGCACGAACTGTAAAAGAACCATACTCTATACTGAGTAAACCCAACCTGATCTGCATCATTTTAAAATAATTTAGACTTATAATTAGAAAAAATTCGGATAACACTCAAGTTATTATCAAATAGTGCGACGGTTAAGAAGTTCGCTCGCCAAACGATCGGCCTGAGTTCAAACCCGGGTTTGAATTTATACTCAAAGAGCCTCCCTTTTGAAATAGAACATGAAGACCCCAAAACATGAAGACCCCGAACCACCTGAAAAGATTTTGAACTATTTACATTTATTGTTTCTCTTAGACTTCACATATTTATCGTAGATTATTAGCACTACAAATTAGTTATTCTATATCTCCCAGCGTTAGCCCAGCTGTTTGGGAGTACAAGTTCCAAGTTCCAAGTTTAAATGTGAGGAGAATAATTACATGGTCAGTTGGCATAGTGGATATGAACCTCGTTTGATAACCTGTTGTACCAGGTTCGATCCCACGCAGAAAAGGCTAATTATATTACCCTTTTTTGTTTGATCTCTTTTCTCTTTCTCTCTCTCTGTCTCTGAGAAATACTGCTAAAGATTATTTCAATTATTTTTCTTGGAATTTAAGAGCCTGTTCCAGCCTCAACTGTGTATCTAACTTTTCCATGTGTACCGATCGCTTAACCTATTTATCCCGCGATCATAAGAAAATGAAGTAAAATGCACACTGTTTTCAGCGCCATCAACATGCCAAGAATATTAACATGTAAATGAACTATTCTTGCGGCTTTCTTTCTGGTTTGCCAGCTACTAAAAATGTGCCACAAATGCCGACATTTTTGTTATGTAATCGTCAGTGATTGGATGTTGTTTTCTAATCCATATTCATGTCGAATCGTAAAATTCAATGTATACTAAGTTAGTCGTCGATGTGTAAGGACGTGCGCGATGAGCTCTGCATACGAGCTGGTTTGAACTTGGAAGACGTACGAAGAGATGTTCATGACATGGAAGAAAGTGTATACTCTACTTCGACAAAGGTAAATACAGAACTGCTTTTGCCAAATAGAAGAGTTAAGCTACAGAATTTTACCGTCGCTGGTCAACACTTGCGCGAGTTGTCAGCTTTGGGCGTCGGTCGCCAAAGACAAGAAACAGAACACTTATGCAATGAAGTTAAGGTTTTCTAGCGAGTCCATGACCAGAATATAAAATGTAAAAATGCAGAAACAATTAGACCATCTTGTCTAGAAAACTTCGAACACGTTTTGAGTCTTTTACTTGGCTTCGTGCATTTCAACTTTCCACGTGTGGAGTTTATAAATTGGGGCACTAACCAGCCAAAATAAATATCTGTAACCTGTTTTTAGTTCGCACATGAACTCATACACTGCCAATTTTATCATATCTGTATTTTATATAATTATAGACTAATTAGTTTAGGCAGGTCCACATCAGCTGTAAAGTTGCGCAAATTTTAACCTGCGTTATCAAATAAAGTTATGTATGTATGTATGTACGTATGAATGTATGTGTGTATGTGTGTGTATGTATGTTTGTATGTATGTATGTATGTATGTATGTATGTATGTATGTATGTAATTAGAGAATTATACGAGGCTCGTCAGTTAACCAAGATTTAGCTCGTTGCTTATCAGTTGAATTTTTATGTTTGTGTTTTAGGAAGCCATCCTGTAAGAAAAGGAAAGGGATTGTGGACTATTAATTAAGTGGACAAGTGGAACCATTGGAACGCTGGAATGAAGAAAAGATTCAACAAAGATAAGAACTTTACATTAGTAAATAATTGTAGTAAAATGATGACTGAACTAATGTAAAAATTTATTCATGAACTTCACTCATGGTTAACGTACCAGATCAGATATGTGAATTATCTGCATGCGCTGAAAATACCAGAGTCAGTAGATTCGACAGACGACATAGTTCAGTGAGGTACGCGTTGTTTTGCAGACCAACATGCAATTTTAGCGTGAATCAATCAGATTCCTTTTAAGTCAACTACTTCTTTACACAAAAGAATAAAAGAGTTATCGATTGGAATCTGTGACTGAGGTTTCTCGGTCCTCATCCATGAATGAAGTTTATTCAAATAAATTTCTGCGTTGGAATGATTTTTAGTTTTAATTAACCGAGCAGGAGGTCTGTATGGGAGAATCTTGACCGAGGTCGCCAGTACAGACCGAACGCAGTGAGGTCTGTACTAGCGACCGAGGTCAAGATTCTCTCATACAGACCGACCTAGCTCGGTTAATAAGATGTTTATTATATGGCTGTGTCTTATATGCCAATTTTTTATATTCTTTGTACCTTTTTTCTAGATGCCGGTCTAGATGGGAAAATCTAGACCGCTTTCAATATTGGTTTCGGCCAATCAAATTCGTGAATTCGGTAGTTCCCAGTCCTTGTGAGACACAGCCATATAATAAGGTCGCTTATTAAACCAAAACAAAGACGAATTTGAGATTTTTACATTTGGCCAATTTCTCGGTCTAAATCTTCTTAAATGCAAAGCAGTCAGTACCTCAAGTCACCATAGCTTATAGTTAAAACATTTTGTGGCCACAAAGAATGTTTAAGGTGGAACTACAAGTTAATAAAGAATAGAACTTCTGTTCCGAAGGAAATCTTCAGTTTTTTTTGAGAAAAGCATATATTGGTTAAAAAACTGAAAAGTGTCGCAATAATTGGAGAAGTCACTTCGCTGTAATAATTCTATGATTATTAAAAAAAATTATTTATTTGGTTTTCTGATAGTGTTCATTTGATCAAAATAGGGAAATTATTAGCCACTTACGACTGATTTTGCACAATTTTCATATCGTGCAATTTAGAGTGCCACCTTAATTTGCATCTATTTGCTCTGGCCATAAAGTTGGTAAATAATAACCGACAAGAGAAGAATGGCCCTTTTTGTTTTTGTTTTTTTATTTGGCTTATTTTATGCGGAAGATAAAAACGCTTTCAAGAAGAACGGCTACATAAAACTTTCTTACAAACAATTCGACTTGCGTCAAGAGAACACTCGTTTAACTGTTGACACTACTGAAACGAACATACTCCTGATTGCTACTTCGATGACGATACATTTGATATAGGACACTTAACGGGCCCCCCCACTCCAGGATTCTGCAACTAACTGTTTATCATTCACAAAGCCATAACGTCGATATGACACTGTTTACTGTTGTAGACTGACTGAACATGAAGGTAACAAAAAGGTCATGATGCCAGC